TCCAAGAAGACCTTGGACCCCAGGAAAGGCAGGACCAGCTCAGTTCTAGGACTTTCTTTGTCTCCACAGGCCTCCTTCCGCTACGGGGCAGTGGGACCCTGTCTGTACCCACCAGGATGAACAGCCCACGCAGAAACAACATTGGCATCATCTTGAGGAAGCGGGCCAACCGGTCCTCTCTGCCCAGCATCCCTGTCAGCAAGCAGGAGCCCAGCTTTGCCCGCCATGCTTCAGGTGGGGCTCAGACCTCTGGCTGCGTGGCCTCAGGATACTCTGGGGCATGAAAAGGGGATATGAGCTGCTCTGCCTGCCACGTAGGACTAGCAGGTAGCCCTTGTGTGAGGGGTCAGCTTGCCAGGGAGAGGAAGAGTGTTTGGAACTCATAACCATCTATGGACCAGGCAGGGGACCCAGAGATCACACCTGGTGTGACATGTCCTAGCAGAGTCATTAGCACATCGGATCAAAGATGCTATCGAATAGCAGCCAAGGAAGTAGAGGGAACTCCAGGAGGAGGAGGAGGAAGAGGGGAGAGACCCCTGCCTGCTGTGTCACACGGCCAGGTGGGTCAGAGGACCCACAGGTCCCAGCAGGACACCTCAGGAAAGGCGCCAGGGGCCAGGGGAGGCTCTGTCTCCATTCTATTTTGCACATGAGCTTTCATTTGAAAAGATTACTTAAAGGTATTTCAAAATAAACAATCGGGGCCAGTTTATTTCAGTGGGATGTGGTGGACAGGGTTGGTGGACTAAAACAACATTTTAGTGCAATAAATTATATGAACTCACTTCCATTTTCCATTCAGCCTTTATGATCTGGGCACGGATCCCAGATGATGTCATGTGACAATCCCAGCCTCTATGATTGTGTCAAGCAGAAAGTTTAATTTGGGGCTAACCTTTGGCATCTCTCTTTTTTGATGAAGAGATCCTCCAGGCCCAGTCGGAGATGTCTGAAGCTGGCTCTAATTTTATAGCGAGGGTTTTAAAATATCATTCTACTTTCATTATAAGTATTCATATCTATGACAAATAATATTAGTTCATCCATTATGGTAGTGACATGAAACTCCCTTTAAAATGAATTTACTTAGATTTGGAAAGAGGCTTGACTTGAAGAAAAGTACAAAGCAAGAAAAAATGTAGATAATTAAATGATATGGCAAAAAAGTCATGGAAGTGGTAACTGAATGATTGATACTGGGAAATATTGATCTATCTAACTCAACTGACTCACTTTATAGATAGGGAAACTGAGAACCAGAGATCCAAGGTCACCAAAGGTCCTTCAAGTTGACGGTGGCCCATAGAACTAAGACTTTGGCTAGTGACTCTTGACCCAGTATGGTCTGTTACCGCCTCTCATTATTTAAACTGGGTGTGTGTGGAGGAGTACGGTAGAAATAAGATTGTTAAGTAGGTAGGTTGGGTTGTTGGAGTTAAGAAAAAACCAACACTCTCCTCTTATATCCTCCCTAGGAGCGGGATTCAAATCTTCCTCTTCCACCTTCTTCTTCCTCTCTCTCTTTCTTGATAGTCAACAGAGAATTACTTACATTGTACCCCGTTTTTTGGTTTGCCTGGAAATGATGGAATTTCAGGACTGTAAACTTGGCTATCCTCCTGATTTTCCTAATAAATCCAGTAAGACTCTAGCTTTTCTTGGGATACCAGGTAGGTTTAGGAGAGCTTGATTGTGTCTACTCAATTCCTCCCGTTTCATGTGTGCAAAAAATGGAAACTCCTGAACCACAAGGCACCCTGTGGACATTATTGAAAAGCCATCAGGGTAAGGGACTGGGCAGGACTAAAGTAGATGCAGACCCTAAGAGACTCGAGGCTGCAGTGGCTTCTGCCGGTGCCTTTTGTGTGTCTTAAAATCTAGGTGGATGCTAAATGCCACTGGAGAACGAGGTGGCAGCGAGTTGGGGTTGGCAGGAGGCCAGCTTGACTCTTCTCCTGAATGGACCAGTGCTTCTTGCAAGCTTCACTAGACAGTGCTTAATTCAGGCCCAGGTTGACAGGGGAGGACAGGGAGGTTGGATGTCACCTCCTACCTCCTGGAGGGTGATCTGAGGGCTGACACACCCTTTCGTGTGCCAATGGCAGAGAATCCAGGAAGGACATCTTTGTGACTGGTTTTAAGTAAAGGGCTGCTTCTCCACTCAGATTTGCCGGGGGCCACCTGGATGTGCTGTAGAGAAGATCATCCCTGGGGGCGAGGAGAGCTAGCCAGGGAGCCAGGCCTGGGAGCAGAGCTCTGGGTTGGAGACCTTCTTTCCTGGCGGTGTGATGGCCTCTCAGGGCCTCCCATATCCCACTGTGTGATGAGGGCATTGGGCTAGAAAGAGCGCCTCTGAAATTCCTTCCTGTTCTTGTGAGATTTTGTGATTCTGTCCATAAAGAAGGAGCACATATAAAACACACTCTATTTTTGTTTGTTTTGGTACTGAGGATTGAAACTGGGGTGCTCTACCATTGAACTACAGCCCCACTCCTTTAATTTTTTAAAACTTTTTTTAATAGGTTCTTTTTAAGTTATTTATATTAGTAGAATCCATTTTGACATAATTATACAAGCATGGAATATGTCTTATTCTAATTCAGTCCCTAGTACCTCTCCTTCCTCTTCCCTCCCCTATGCCTGCTCCTGTATCGATCTTTCTGCCATTTTGAGACAGGGTCTTGATAAATTGCTGAGGCCAGATTTGAATGTATAATCCTCCTGCCTCAGCCTCCTGAGTAGCTGGGATTGTAAGCGTGCATCATCACACCCAGCACATGCACATGCTCTGGTTTCTAAATCACTTCCCTGTCTGTTGTGGGTCACATCTGGACCCAGCAGAAGCCAGTTACTGACCTTGTCTCCTCCAAGGCTTCTTACCTTTCCCTGCCTCCCTCCAGCCATCAGTCCATGGAGCGCTTACCTACTCAGGCAGAGGATGATAGCAGGAGGGAAGGAGCAGAGGCTCCTGGTGGAAGTGAGGTCAGAACCACGAAAGGCGCTCACTGAGAGTCTTCCTGGGCCTCAGACCACCCCCAGGTAGGGCAGGACTGGAGGCGAGTCCTGGTTCCATGGGCATTGTCACGTGACATCAAGCAGCACATCTCAAGTCAGTGTGTCCACCATGGTCGGAGTGGCAATGGAGGAATGGAGAAAGTCAACAAAAGGCACAGTCAGGTGGTCCCCTTTGGCTCCCTGGGGCGTGAGGCCTGGAGCTTCTGACCGTCATCAGTCCCTCCTGCATACACAGGGGACTCCGAGCTGCGGGCCATTGGCATGGCGAGGGTCAGGAGGAGCAGCCACTGGGGACATTTGCCCTCCTCAGTCCTCCTGGGTGAAGCTTCTCTTTCTTTTCTGTTTGTGGGTGCAGCTAACTCCTTACCTGCCGTGCTCACTCTGGGGTCTCCTGAATGGGAGGACGAGGAGGACGAGATGGGTCTGAGAGGCTTCAAGGAGTTGAGGCCTTTCTCGAACGCAGAGCTGGGCTTGATGGACGCCCTCCAGTGCCTCAACAGCAGTGATTGGTGAGGAGACACTGTGTGTGTGTGCACAACCTTGCATCTATGTGTGTGTGTGTGAGAGTGTGTTAGTGTGTGTGAGTGTGTATGTGGTACCTCTAGCTTCCTGAGCCTGGATCCCCCCGGTTGACTCTGTGCACTGATCTGCAGCACGCCAGGGTTAGGCCTGTCAACTGTGACTTGGACTCCAGAAGGTGGGGACTGGGAAGGATCACAGCCCTTTATTTCCCTAACTCAAGTTTAATTTGCTCTGATCTTCCTCACCCTGTGCTGACGGGGCACAGTCTCTTAGTCTTGAGCCGAGTGATGGCTCAGAGTCCAGAACGTTTATGGAAAGCCCTCAGGGTCTTCGGTCCTCCCTCCAAGTACTTCCCTTTAGGTGTCTGCTTTGTGTCAAGGATCCAAATAGGTCTTGGTCTGGGCACGGATCCCAGTACTGCCAGAGCCCAGGGCCAGCCAGGGCCTGTACAATGGCTCACACTGAATGCCTAGGATTTCAGGCCTGGGTGACACTCCAGGAAGTGCTGCCTCTGAGACCCTGGAATGCCACCCTGTTCTGTGTGTGTGTATGTGTGTGTGTGTGTGTGTGTGTGTGTGTGTGTGTGTGTGTGTGTGCTGTGTGTCCCAGAGGTCCCTGGTCTGCAGAAGGAGCAGGGCTTCTTCCTCCTTATCTACTTGTGACAGTCCCGGCCTTGCTTCTCAGGCAGATGAAGGAGAAGGGCCTGGTGAGCGTCCAGCGCCTGGCGGCCTGTCACTCGGAGGTCCTGGCTGGGAGGCTGCACGATGTGTCCTTGGCAGTTACTGGGGAGGTGAGGCCTCCCGACAGACCATGAGCTTTGCCCCCTCCCTGCAGCTGCTCCCCCTTCCCTGGTGCAGCTGCTCAAGGTGAGTTTCCCAGCAGCCACGGAGGGGCCCATGGCTCCCTGGAACATGGGCATCTCTATGTCTCAGCCTTCAGCCAGTGAGGTAGGAGGAGTCACCTATTCTTTTCTTTCTTTCCTGTAGCAGTGATCAACCCCAGAGGTGTTTAACCACTAAGCCACATCCCCGGTCCTTTTATTTTTTACTTTGAGACAGGTCTCACTGAGTTGCTTAGGGCTTTCCTAAGTTGCTGAGGCTAGCCTTGAACTTGTGATCCTCCTGCCTCAGCCTCCTGAGTCACAGGGATTACAGGCATGGGCCACTGCACCTGGCTAGCCATGTATACTTCAGATTAGAGAGCTGAGACCTGGACTCTGTGTACCTGTAATCTTTGGAAGTGGCACATTTGGAATCCAGTGTGCCCATTTTTACACAAACTTCCTGGGGAGGGATGGCATGCTCTGGGCCAGATCCCCAACTTCAGGACAGCTGTAGCATTTCCCAAGGCCTGTCTGAGGCTGGGACTCAGCCTGGGCCCAGAGAGGCAGTCAGAGGCACTTGATCCATGTGGAGGCCTTGCAGACGGACTGCTTCAGTGAGGGTAGGGATATGACTACAGAAGATGTTGTGTTGACATGCAGGCTGGGCTGGGTTGTGGCTCTGTGGTTTCCTGTATGTGACCTGGGGTCTGTTTCTTCCTCTGCAAAATGAGTGTCATATACCTACTTCTCACAGTAGTTGTGAAGATCAAATTGGATATTTTCTTTTTCTTTTTTTTTTTTTTATAAATGTGCCCTGAAGACTAAGTGTTGTGAAAATTTCAGATGATAACGATAATGGTGGAATTAACAATTATGATGATCACAAAATGGGACTATTTTGCCCAGAGCGGCTGCAGGGTGTTCATTTCTAGCGTGGTGAGGGGTGGGAGGGGGCTTGGGGTGGGGGACGGGGTAGCACGAGGGCTGTTCCACTTCCCATCCTCGCTGTGTTCCAGAGCCCTAGGCGGGGGCTGGCAATCTAGAGGCCCCTTCTCTCTCTCTCTCTCCCAGGTCTCCAACCTCCGCTCCAAGGTGTCCCGCCTGGCCATCAGCACCCTGGGAGACCTTTTCCGGGCTTTAAAGAAGAACATGGACCAAGAGACTGAGGAGATCACCCGCTGCCTGCTCCAGAAGATGGGGAACACCAGCGAGTTCATCCAGCGGGCAGCCAACCGCGCCCTGGGTGCCATGGTGGAGAACGTGACCCCTGCCCGTGCCCTTGTGGCCCTCACCTCCGCAGGCATTTAGTACGTGGCTGCCTGTTGTCTGGAAGGGCCAGGGAGGCAGGGGAGAGGCTCTGAGATGTGAGGGAAGGAGGAAAGGGACAGAGAAGGAAGGAGGCAGAAAAGTGGGGCTGCAGAGGGTCAGCGTGGCCACCTGCAGGCTCTGTAGCTGGGGGAGGGAGACCTGGCTTCTCAGTGGGCTTTTCCCCACCCTTTCTGGACCAGGCTGGGGATTCTGGAAGAGGAGGGGTGCTGTTGTTCTGCTCCAAGGCTGGGGAGCACGGTGGCCATGGTAACGCCCCAGGAGGCATGGTCGCAGAGCAGCCTGGGCTGTGCCCCAGGGGCTCCTGCCCTCCCTGGGGCATTCTGCTTCTGTCTGATGAAATTTGGGCCAGTGAAGAGAGGAAGGCACAAATGGCCGTCTCCCGGGGAGGGAGGGGCTGCTGTTGGAGCCAGATTTGCTTTTCCCTTAAGATCAAAAAGCAAAACCAAAGGCATTTCCCGGGCCCTCTCTCCCTCAGGGCAGAATGCCCCTCCACCCCAATAAGTCCACCAGCATGGGCCTGTCAGGGGACATTAGGGTCTGCCGCCGCAGCAGCACACCTTTGCATGTCGCCAAGGGTGAGGTGCTCCTGAGCCACGTCGCCTGGGTTCCATTCTGGATTGTCCCTTCACCTCTCCAGGCCTCCTGATGTGTTTCTCTTGTCAGCGTTCAGATTCCACCTGTCACAACGACCAAACCACCCAGTTCAGTTCAGCAGACATGCACTAGGCTTCTGCGGTGTCAGGGTGCCTGTGAGGTTGCGTCGGAGATGGGGCCCTGTTCTCTGTTCCCAGGGAGCTGGATGCCTCCCCAGGCTGAAGGCAAGGGCACACCTCAGAGGGAACATCTCAGTGTGCCTGTGAGGCTGGGAAGGAAGAGGAGACACTGACTGGGATTTTTCTAGGTGGAGGAAAATGGGGTGGCGCATGTAGATCAAAGGATGAGTGCACTTGGGCAGGCCCCGAGAGCACTGAGCACAGGGTGTTTGGGGAGCATCGTGTGGCTTTGGGCACTTGTCCCTCTCTTCCCTACAGCCCTGTCATCAGAACTGATCTCTCTGTCCTCCAGGATTCCCCAGACGTGTGTGGGAGCCACGGTGGACTGGTCTGAACACGGGTCTACAGTCTATGCTTGTAGATCCATATTTTCCAGCTGGGAGCCTCACATCCCCATCCTGGGACTGACCACGTGGCTGTGCTTGTTTCCTTTCAGCCACCGGAACCCATTAGTCCGGAAATGCACCGCTGAGCACCTTTCAGTCGTCCTGGAGCAAATTGGTGCAGAGAAACTTCTCTCAGGCACGAGGGACAGCACTGACATGCTGGTGCACAACCTGGTGAGGCTGGCTCAGGACTCCAACCAGGACACCAGGTAGAGCAGGGCTGGGGCCTGGGGCAGACAAGGCCACCAGCCAGCCCCAGGGGCCCTGGTCAGAGTTCAGCTTCCCTGGGGTCATTCAAGGGGACAATCAGGTAGACTAAAGCTGATTTTCCTATTGTCCCCCCTCCCTCCCATGTCACAGACAAGTCTGTTCAAGGAGCCGTCAGTGCCCCCTGCCTCCATACTGCTTCTTCCTTCCTCTCTCTACTCCTTGCCAAGTCGCTCCTATCTCCACCCACCCCGGCTCTGTTCTCTGCAAGACTGTTCAGTCATTTTGCCAAGCGTTATCTGCGGAGCACTCTTATCCTTGTGACACAGCGTTGAATTGGAAAAACCAAGCCCTTGTTGTCTTACTCTTAGTTAAGGGAGACAGATAGTAAAAGGATAGATATTAGATCACCTTAGACACAGATAAAGGATGCAAAGGTAAAAACAAACAAGAAGATAGAGCAGAGAATGGGCTGGGAGCGAGTTTAGACTGAGGTTTGGGGAGATGTGAGAACTGACCAGCTGGATGGAGTCAGCCTTTTTGAGAATGTGGGAACGTGATTCAGGCAGAGGAGATAGTACGAAGGCCCCTGGATTGGAACTGCCTGGTGTTCAGGGACCAGGCTGGCCAGCCTGGGTGGAGCACCAGGAGTCAGGGGTGTAGTGGACCGGTGCCCAGATCATGGAGGGCCTCAGAGGCCAAGGTCAGGGTTGGAATTTAGAGTTGCATAAAGGGAGGTCACAGGAGAATTTTTTTGGTTGGAGTGTGAGGACGTCTTAGAGGGTTTTAAGCAGGCCAGTGGTGGGATGAGTTTGTACACTCCAGCGGCCCTGCCCAGCTGGGGCTCCTAGCATGCTGCTTCCCGAGCCTTCCTTCTGTCAGCTGAGGTATCTGCCTCAAGTGACAATACTTGGATTTCTAATTTTTATCAATCCCATGGGTGAAGGTGACAGCTCATTGTTGTTTCTGAGTATTTTTATCCTGGTGACTAGTGAGTTTGAATTTTTTTTTTTTTTACATACTTGCTAGCTGTTGGATTAGAAATATTTCTTTCTGGCTGCTCACTGGAGGCCTGACAGTTAGGGAGAGGAGCCAAGATCAGGGTGGACAGCAGACGATGGCTACACATCGTTTGGACAAGGGGGACTGGAGGCTGGGCTAGGATTGTGGGTGACTGATATATTTTGAAGGCAGAGCCAACAGGACATAGATGAGTGGTGAGGGTTGCGGGGATACATAAGTCAAAGATGCCTCTCAGGTGTTTAGACAGAACAACTGGGTGAATGAGAAGAATACTGGTGAAAAAGAAGGTTTGGGGTTATTTGTTTCTCCTTGCTGGTAGGTGATGGAAATGGAGGCCTAATCTCTCTCTGGGTCTAACATTCTTTCCCTTCTGACCTCCCTTTTATACTGGATGACCCTCCCTGACTTTCATTTTCCATTTTGGAAACCCCATGCCTCCTGGTTTCAGGTCACTGGACCTCCTGGTTCTCCTTTCCCCCAGGGCCATTTCTCCACCCTGCCTGCCCTCTGCATGGAGGTGACTGTGGAGTCTTTACTCCTTCATTGTCCCCCTCTTCTGGCTCTCACTTCTCATGACTGCAGCCACCAGCAGACTCTGGCGCTGCCCTGTCTCCCTCCAGACCAGACCCTTTTTGGAGTGTCAGTCTTACATCTCTGATACCTCTAGGGGACCTGCCACTGGATGTCCCATTAACCATCTTCAGTGCAGAGTGTCCCTAAAGGAGCTCATTGCCATCTCCCGAAGCCTGATTTCTTTGGCTGTGTTTTCTTCACGGTTCATAGTGACCATTACTTGCCAAGTCACACAGGATGCAAAATAGGGATTCCCATACTTCATTGAACCCGAGACTCACATTTCCCCCGCATGGTAAGATCTTTGAAACTGGCTTGCGTCTTACAATCAGAGACCTCTCAGTTGCTGTTGTAAACCAGGTGATTGCAACTTGGGTTTTATTATTTCACGTTTGCAAACTTTGGCATTCAAGTTTGCATTGTAGGAACCTATGCTGTAAGCTTTTCTTTCCTTGTCAATCTTTTGATTTATTTACAGAAATCATTTTGGGTGCTCTGCAGAAAATTGTTGAGTTTAATTACTGTTGAAAATGTCTTAGAAGTATTATACTAGTATTTGGCATTGAATTGAAAAATTATTCTGCACAAGACGACATGGAGACAAGCAATGGGGCATCCATCAGACGTCAGCGAAGCAATCATTCACTGTTGAAGAAATGGCCAATATTTCACATTTTCTTGCAGAGAAACCACCAAGGACTTTACCTGACCCAAGGAAGGAAAATGCTCACCAGTAATGTTACCTTCTTTTTCCAAGGCAGCCTTCACTCGTGGTACAGCATCACTGAAGATAGTGGAAATTGCCAGCATTTAATTTTTCTGTTTTTCCTTAATGGAAAATAAAGTAATGGTGCATTTTGCGATGCTTCCTGCTATCAAATCCCGTTATTCCAACCCCCTAGCAACTCTTGAATCTGACTGCCCCTTCTTATCCCCACTCTGCTGCCTTATTTCAGGTCTTCATCTTGTGCCTGGGCCCTGATGCTAGCCTCCTAATGGTCTACTGGCCTCCAGGCTTGTCTCCACCAATCACCCCTCACATTGCTGCCGGAGACGGTGTGACTAATGCACAAAGCTGGTCATTCCTCAGCTTCCTGTCGCCAGCAGCTAAACTCCTTCATGTCTCCTTAAACAGGGCCCTGCCTTCTTGTCGACCTGTCTCTTCCCGTGTCCAGTCCCTGCTCACTCTTCCTCAATCTGATCTCCTGCTGATATGTCAAATGTGCTGTGGACCCTGGATGGCCCTTCTCCTCCTGCTTATTCCCCAGTCCCACCCCCACTTGTGAACTCCCACTCATCCTTTGAGTCCCAACCCCAGTGTCAGCTCTTCTCTGAAGCCTTCCTTTATTTCCTCCCCATCCACCACCATTTACCAGGTAGAGCCAACCACTCCCTTCCATACTGTCTTCCTTCAGACTCTTAAATGTACCAGACTAGAAAAAAATTAATTATATTTTTTTGTATAGAATTCAACAGAATAATGGATAGCCATTTAAATGGATGCTGATAAAGAGTTTTAAATGACCTAGAAAGATAATGGATGATAAAGCGAAACATCCAGATGCTAGGCGTATCTGCACTTTGGTATCAAATGTATTTGTGTAGAAAAAATATGAATATGTAAAAATGTCATAGTGATTTTTCTCTTGGTGATGGCATTATGGGTGATGTTGGTTCTTTTTATGAATCTAATTTTTAAGTGGGTAGGATTGCTTTCCTAATGAGGAGAAGTATTAAAAACTCTCCTCCCATAATTGGGAAATTACGAAGC